CCACCGCGGGGTGCTGCAGTGCTTCAAACACTGGCCTACGGGCCCAGACCAGACCTGATCTTAAAAAAATCAAAGGAAAAAAAAAAAAGTCAATGCCATCTTAGAGATTATGCATATTCAAACCAAGTTCAAGTATTTTTATTCTCAGTATCATTTTTGCTACATGTCCTCCTTTTGATTTGCCATGGAAAGAAAGAAAATGGAAGGAAAACCAAGAAAATGTAAACGAAAGTAAGAGATACAGCCTGCTTTTTACTTTGGAGTTTTTCTCCCTTATCCAAAAGGCAATGGTAATAACAGAAATAGTTGATTACATTAAATATAAAAATATATCTATTTTATTTATTATTTTTGTTTACTATGTTTATTGCATTTATTATATTTTATTATATATATTATATAATATATATTTTTATTGTATTTATATACCAACATTATTTTTCTAATATATTTTATTTACCTACATTATATTTTTCTATTATAAAAATACTAAGCTACCAGGGAGGAGGGAGTTTTCTAAAGCAGAATGCAGGCTGCTTTTCATATATATTATTATTATAAAAATATTTCACTTTTCTAAGAGAGCCAGTCAGCACCCAGCTTCTCCCCGAGACCCCCCCGGCCGGGGATGCCGCTCCTCTCCGTGCCTGGCCCAGACCGGGGGCATTCATGTCCTTTCGTTTCGCCCTCCCATACCTCCTCGCAGCTTGCGACGACAACATCCTCGCTACCCTCACTCTTGGCTCAGTCCCAACGGGGTTTCCACGCACTTCACTCGATCTGCAATTGCGTTCGCGGAAGTGTCGTGAGCCTCAGGCTCGGGAACGGCTCTGTGCCCGCTGTACCCACCCGCAGCCTTCACACTTACTCCTTCCTCCTCAGCCCTCTCGTTCCCTCTGCGCATCTCCCTCCCCACCTCCACAAAACGCTTTTATCAGCTGCGCTGTTTGATACCCCTGCCGTAAACTGCTCAACACCACCACCACGGAAGCTACTAAAACTTGGGACCTGGGCTCACCAAGCCTGGCTCAGCCATCCTCTTCCAGCTCCGTTTCCTTCTGGAAAGGTTCCCCGAACCCCAACCTGCCTACCTGCTCCGAGGTGCAGCCCCTCACACCACGGCCCCCAGCTGCAGGAAAAACGGGTTTGCAGCAAAGTTCCAACCTCAGGCTTCTGCGAGCTGGAGCCCTCACACCAGCCGGGCGACGCGGTCCGTCGTCGGGAGGAGCAGGTCGGTAGCTTCAGCCGCTGCGGGCTCAGCACCCTCATGCCCATGCCGTGAGACAAGGAGCTGAAATATAAGAAGGATGAGACTTGATGAACGAGGAACGAAGAGCCAAGCTACTTTGGCCGTTTCAGGCCCAAAGCCAGGCAAGTATTTTGTAGCTGTTCCTTAATTTCAGACAAAGCCCGATCCGTGAGAAACGTGTGTTCAGAGGAGCGGAAGAAAGAGCTCAACTTCAATGCAAACACTGCAAATTGAAACAATTATTCAATGTTGAAATCAAAGAAAATTACCCTCTCACATTTTACCCTTTTGAGCAAATGAAAAGCGCTCAAGGAGAACATTTTCTTCAGCTTCTCTCCTGCTTAAAAAAGTAAGAGAGACATTCTAAACTCTTGAGTTATCTCATTAATGGTACAACTGGAAAGATTAACAGCAAAAATTAAACAATTCCATTATTATTTAATTGCTCTAGAAATGTATTGCCTTAATATTTATAATTGTACTCTTAAGATTAATAATCCTGATTTGCCACCTCCCCATTTCTCACACTTACCCAACTTCACAAAGAAAATATTGAGAATACATCTTGAAGATTCCTGAAGTAAAAAGGAAAGACACCATGTGCATCCATAAATCATTTTTTATTTCAAATCCAGCTCTCAGTTTACATTGTTCGTGAAACAGGTAACCCTTCAGCATTCGGGATTGGCAACGCTCATTAAGTCCCCAAACTAAATTCATCACGCTGATGCCATTGTGCCAGTTAAACACAGACTCTAAACTTAAGAACACTGGAGAGACACCAAAAAAACAAACAAAAAGCCAGGAGTAGCAAGGAACAAGATTCCTGTAGTCTCTCAGGAAAATATAATGCAGAGCTACATGCCACCTAAAGAACAGGTGGCCCCAGAGTCTCACGGATTCCCTCAAATTCCAATTTCCGGGCAGACCGAGATGGCCCAGACCCTCTAAGAAAGCCACGAGCCAGATCTTTGCTGTTGTCCAAATTCTCTCTCAGGATTTATTAGCAAAATCCCATTAATCCAACCAAACCTCCTTCTGCTGCCAAGATAATTTTGTGGCTATTTGTAAAGCTAATCAACCAAAATGTTATTTTCATCCCAGTAATATCAAGCCATAAACGCTGAAGAATATGTTGGCCATCAATTGTTGACGCTGCACTCAACTTTGCTGGTACTGGTGAACGCCGGCAGGGTGTTTTGCCCTTGGATTAAGTCCCCAGAGCCTCTCCTCCCCGCACTCAGGCATACGTCCGACCTCTTGTTTTAGCGAGTCCTGACACAGCCTGAAGGAGCAGCTCCTCGTTAGCTGCCCCTGTACCCATTCCAGCACACGCCTGCACCACACACCGGCTTCAACAGCGTCACCTGCCCGCGCAAAGGTAAGCACACACAAATGTTCCCCACAAAGCTTTAAAACCACCGGCCACAAAGCCATCAGTGCAAGGTGACAGCGTTACCTCCGAATGAGTCCCAGATAAATAAATCTGAGCGTCAGTTTGGACTGCAGAACATCAGGTTGCCTTGGTAGGAAAAAGCAGAGACACGTGACTCTATGCAATTAATAGTATTTAAAACATTTGCCTCTAAAACCTGGCAAACTGTGACCAAAAATTGTATACTTTGTTATTTAATTAAAAAGCCTTTTATTAGAAAAAAATATCAAATATCTGTGCATAGTTAAATGTCTTTATTTTGAGTTGGTTTCATTCAAACTCAGACATTTTACCGACTTCAGTTTTATACATTTTTTTCTTTAAAAATCCCACAGGTTTAAAAAAAACACATACAAATACAGGATACCATATTTCTCAAGGGCTTTTTTTTTTTTCCTTTCATGTCAAGAAGTGCAATTTTGCTTCTCTGGTTCTTTAAACAGTTTTATCCATCAGTAAAACAATACACTACACCAAGAATTGCACCAGATACCCTAATATGTCTTGTGTATCAGCTATAGTTAGCTTTGCCTATGCACTGCTTAAGGTCATGAGAGATCTATATAGAAATTACGCTTACAGTAACTCGTCTTTACCAGTATAGGCAGGTCAGTAAATGTACCTACACTGTGTGAAATTGCCTATGACTGCTGAAGAATGGAAGTCAATAATATCTACAATTCTACCAGTGAAATGTTTACATTTACTGTAACTGCATTGCTTTTGCATACAAATGTACGCTCTGCTTCAAGCCACTGAGACCGTGTGATTATACTGCAAGTCTATCATGGGAATATATTCTAAAAAAATCCATAATTTAACATAGAACTCTGTTTTTTATCTCACTGAACTTGATTCTTCCACACATCCTTCTGGCCCCACTTAGGATAACAAAACTGCTCCCTTTTTTCCCCCCCCCACTAGCGCCAACGTGTCAGCTCCAGGGGGAATTTCATAAAGAACTCTGCTTTGGCTTAACATTCCCTTCACTGAAAACACTGAACTATGCTACTGACTTTGGAAGGATTTTCAAAAGTTTTCTAGATTGACTCTTCAACATGTTGAGAGAACAAGAATATTAATAGATTAGGCTTTTCATGACTCCCAGAACATGATTTCTCATGACTTCATTTCCTCTCAGCTGCAGCTGAAAGACACCAAGACACCCTGTACATCTTATCACTTGTCATAAAAAACTACAAGCCCATTCCCTTTAGCATCCTAAGACTCAAGTTTTATTCCAATTTGATCATTTTTTCCATTACTGAGTGCTGTTTTATGTGAAAAAGTAGGAAACACCCAGATCACCTGATGTTTTAAATATTCATTTAGGAAAAGATTTACCTGCTTTGAGACAGAAGACTGGCTAAACCTACTGCGCAGACCTGTTATATATTTCAGTATTTAAAACTAGGGGGAAAAGAGTCAAAGTTTATCTTTAAATGCAAAAACATCAGACATACTGCTCTCTAACCTGAAAATGTTTCATAGGAGTCCACAGTATCTATTGTACCAAACAACAAAAGTTAAAGCTTGCTTAACCACTTCATTCTTACAACCTCTGCTATACAAAGGCAGATCTTCAAACTTAGAAACAATACAAGAACAGCAGTGACATGGATGGTGATGAAAAGGAATGAACCAACCATCCTGGAACCACTGTGCCATGTAACTCGACTGCAAATGACGTGCTGGGCAGTGTCTTACAACAGGAAGGCAACTCCTGCTCAGATTGTTACTTACAGGTACAGCACTATAGCATACAAGCATCCAGCTTCTTAAGAAGAGGAACGGAGGAGCTCCGACCGGCCTAGCTCATTCCAAGAGAGACTAAACTGAGAAACCAAGCTGTAACACTCTCCATCCTCTAGCATTTCCTCATGTAACAGTAGGCATAAATTATTACAAGATTAGTATCTACCCCAGAAAGTCTTACATGAAATGGATGGACATATCTTTATATAAAGACAAGTATTTCAGAATTTGGAATGCAAAAAATACAGCGCAAAAAACCAAAGCGAGTTCTGAAAAATAGTTTTTACACATCAAAACCTCCCAGAATTAGAGAGAGGGATTATAAAGATAAGGTATGGCGCTAAGAAGTGGTTTGACAAGTTAATAATGGATTATTTCCCTCGTAGAGGTTTACGCTTTTCACACCAGCATTTTGCTTTATGTTGTTACAATATTTTTATGGAGCATTATTTAAAAACAATATTTCAGTCAGATGTCTAATTTAGAATTCATCATGTTTTACCCTAAATGGCCACTTGGAATGCTGTGAAACATGATTTGCAGCCAGAAGCACCAAGTACATAAATTCTTCCACATCAAAGGAGTAGTTTGTAAATTTTGGATGTTCTCCCAGCGTTGGGTGGTGTCCCTAGAAAAATGAAATAAGGCCTTTTAGACAGAAAAAAAATTCAGTACATCTTCCATTCAAAAAGCAAGAAAAAAAAATTGAGCATCTGCCACTTTAATTTATTATTTCTGATCCACTGACCTGCTCTGAGGCAAAAGTCAGCAAAGTAAGTGCATCAGCAATGCTATGGATGGCTTGGATTAATGGCCAATTAATTTTGTTTCTCTTCTACCCTCAGCCATTAATATCAAATGATTTCTTACTCACAACAGAGAATTTAATTTGGTCTAAAGGATGAAAACCACATTTCAAATATCAGAACATAGCTAGGTAAGACAAGCTAACCTTTAAACGCTTCAAGTTATAGCACCCACCCTTCCAGCAGTGGCCATCATTACCTCATCTTGAGGGAATACTTTATTCCTTTTTCGCCAAGTGATGTAGTGAATGCCTCTCAGCCTCGCCAAATCCAGGTAGCAGCGTTCGTCTTCGCAATTGTACCTGGGGGCAGGCAGAAAAATCGTATTTACCTACAGAGGTTGTGCTGAAGTCTACCACGGTGAAACAGGAAAAACAACAACTTCAGGCCAGTTCTAAGGCTCCGAAACCATGGATAAATTCTCCTGCACTGAGAACAACACCGGGGGCTCCCATCTGTTCTGAAGCTGTGGCCTAGGAGGCAGTTTGAGGCACATCCGCATAGCAGGCATACCCTGTCCAGCTGCAGCGGCGCATGGGCTTCTGAACGTTCTTTGGAGACTGGACAAAAAGCTCTCAAGCCAAGGTTATGCTGCAAAGCACCAGCTCCACAGCCTTCTCACAGCAGAGGCTTTAAGCAGAACTTCCCAGGATGGAAAATTCAGTGCTTTTCTGAGAAGTATGCAGCATTTTCGTTTGTTCTATAGAACTGGAGTGTCTATTAACAACAATATTTTGTGATAAAATTTGGCCACAACAATGATCCGAGGGCTGGAACACCTCTCCTATTAGGAAAGGCTGGGAGAGCTGGGGCTGTCCAGCCTGGAGAAGAGAAGGCTGCGGGGAGACCTTATTGCAGCCTCCCAGTACTTAAAGGTGGCTTGTCAGAAAGATGAGGACAAACTTTTTAGTAAGGCCTGAAGTGATAGGACAAGCAATGGTTTTAAACTAAGAGAGGGCAGATTCAGACTGGATACAAGGAAGAAATTTTTCACAAGGCAGGAGGTGAAACGCTGGCCCAGGTTGCCCAGAGAGGTGGTCGATGCCCCATCCCTGGAAACATCCCAGGTCAGGTTGGACAGGGCTCTGAGCAGCCTGATGTGGTTGAAGATGTCCCTGCTCATTGCAGGGGGGCTGGACTAGATGGCCTTCACAGGTCCCTTCCAACCCAAAATGTTTGATGATTCTATGAAAACACGTTTGAAAGGAAGCTACTAGAGAAATTTAGGTAAAACAGAATGACACTCCGCTAAGCTTGGCTAGTAAGCTGGTGCTCATGCCCTGAGCACAGAAAACAGCATATAAATAACCTTCAGGGGGATCTTTAACACCCTGGACATGCATCTCCTGTAATCAATTCACCTGAATCACCAAAATACCATTAAATCCCAGACTCATCAGGCAGAATCTGACTAGCGAGGCTTTCTGGTTTTTTACCTTTTTCCCCAAAATTGTTGACGAGATTGCATTTCATTTATACCACGGTATCTTAAGAAATTACAGGCTAAATCTGTATGATATAGTTACACTGCATTTTATAATAAAAGCTTCCTCACTTTCGATTCCCAGAAGAGACTGCCAAAAATTAAGTCTAGATGAGGATGCAAAACAAACATTCATAGTCAAACACCAGTAAGGGAAAGTGCTTCATTAAGACATATGAACAGACATTAGCAATTGAGGTATGAGAGGGGAAAGAGAAACAGACTTACAGTTCAAAAACAACAGCCCAGTCTGGCAGAAAGAGCAAATGGGTAAGTCCAGCTCCATGCATCCCAATGAATATATCAGAGTTGTGGGTAATTCTCAACTGCTCTGAAAATTCAAGTTCCCTGCAGACAACACAACAAAAATGGTGATGTGGCATGCCTATCCATCTCAGCAAGAATTAGTTACATGTAGAAAGCGCAAAATTAACTTAAGGGAATACTGAAAGAGAGAATTGATTTTTCAAGGAACAATACTAAGAATCACAAATGCTGCAACCAGCAATAACTCAGCATGGAATTAGAAGAAATGCAGACAGGTTTCAAAACTTCAGAAGTCTGTTCCAAAAATTTGAATTGTTTTTTTCAAGTTAGAAGTTTTTTTTAAGTTTGGGGTTTTTTCACTTGCCTTTAAAAAAAAAAAACACGCACCATGTCCTTTAAAAAAAAAAAAAAAAAACCAAAAAAAAAACAACATAAAATACCTAAACTGTTTTGAATATAATGTAGAAGTATACAATTCCTGCCTAAAGATGTGGATATCCAGCCTGAACTTAGGCACAGGGCATCAAGCAGAAATAAGCAGACCAGGCTTTTTTCAGCTCCCGGAACTATCACTCTCTCCCATCCTTTGACTGTAAGCTCCAAACAAAGCGTTCTCTTTAAAGAACCAGGTTTTCCCTGAGCACACAAGGAAAGAATGGACTAAAGATATTTAATTGTAAGAGAAGAAAGACAACTGAAAAATGAAGTTACAAGAAGCTTCACTTGTGTAAATAGTTCATATATTAAAAAGGAAGAGAATGACATCGTCTCTGGCCATCTGGAAGAGCATGGAAAGAAACTGGCTTAAACTGCAACAAGAAAGGTTAAACTGCTATATGGGCAGACATCAGGGAAACCTTCCTAACTATGAGGGCAGTGGTGCTGCAGGAGAGCTGTGGAAATCCGTAATGCGGAATGGTACTACAAACAGCTTTGGCAAGCACGGGAAGTGTGGAAGTACCACTTGGTCATGCTTTCCGTGGGGCGGTCTAGACACCCTCTCAAGGGTACCCACCTTTTTTCTATTATTAGACTGCTCAAGTGCTTTTATTGACAGTGGATCGGAAGCAGCTCTTGACTTCCTCCCACTGCCTCTGCTTTGGTCAAAACACTGACCTCTCACTGCTGCTTCAGTTTCTCACTCCTCCTGCACAATCCATGACAGCACCACTCAGTAGATGGGAGCTGCTGCCATTTGGCACAGGCATACACCACTTGGGAACTTTTTCTTCAAGCCATTTCTTATTGGCACAGTGCCTACCACATCTGGGCACCACAAAATGACCTCAAGTGGCGTCCTGAAAGGCCATCAGAGCAGCAAATGAGCTGAGTTATTACTCATTACTCAACTAAAGAACATATAAAATAAGACACTAGTGTCATACAAGAGAAATCCCTGTTGACCCACAGCTACTGCAGAGCATTAGCAAATCCAAAAGGGTGATGGGATCACAGATGGTTCTGGGAGAGGGGAGGAAACAGAAAGAAAAGTGATTTCAAAACTTGCTCATCGTATAGCAGCTTTAACCTGAGCCTACTAACTCTAGACATTCATTCCTAAAGCAGTGCATCATAGGATGGGAGTGCTTAACTAGCTCACCCACCACTCCCTCAGTAACATTCTTCCTCCCTTACCCGTTCTCGGATTTTGCAAAGGTTAGACGTTGGGGCATACACAGCTCTGCCTGCAAACAGCTTTCACCAGCCACAGGCAGCATGAGATCACACTGACTTCTTCCATCAACTTACGTACTTGTATTTGTAGTCTACCACTTTGACCTCCAACGTTGATACTGTTTTCATAGCGTTCACAAGCTGAGGAGGAGAATAAAAGGACAATGATTTGGTGCTCTCCTTCAATTAATTCCTCCCCTGAACTCCTGACTGGTTTGCACACTCCTCCTCCCTACCAGGGAATTACAACGAGCGAGGCAGAACACACCGTCACTGCCATGTAAAGGAGCAGTTCCCCTCCTCCTGCGCCTTCCCACCTAAGACACACACATTATTGCTGGCAGACCAGCCCCTGGAGAGCAGCCTCAGATCTCCTGCGCTCCCAGAGGCTACTGCTGACTTTTACATGCTCCAGGACCCAATTCTAAACCACTCAAACTAGTAAGAGTTTTGCCAGGATTTCCAGAAGATATTCCAATACCTAACACAGCAAATTGGTAGCTAGAAGGGTTTTCAAAAATATCTTTCTAGGTCAGACTCCTACTCACACATGAAGTGAAACCAGGTTGAAGCCTAGGCTTCTAACCTAAAAGGGCTTTTTCCAAGTCTCCAATCCATAGCCAGCAGGAGAGTGAGAAAGCCAAGTATTTTCTTTACAAAAGTGTAGTAAAGATAAGATTAACTTCTCTCTTTGTCACATGTCCGTTATCAGAAAACACTCTGCATGTAGCAGTGTAGGCGCGTGCTGCGGACAGTCTAGCAGATGTGGCACAAATCCAGCCATCTGTGCTCTGTCTGTTCTGCCACTGAGCTACCGCATCAAACCAGCCGCAGTTTCTCCCTACATAAGGTGGGGATGATAATGCCAAGTCGTTTCTGTCAGGCACTAACAGCTAAGAATGAAGACGCGTATGAAAACATTAGATGTTACCATTTTACCACAAGAGAAGCTGCACCATAAGCCCACTACACCACATGACTCCAAAACGTGAATCAATATGAAAATTCATTAAGTTTTGAATGCACATACTCAGATAATAATAGCTTATGCATTTTAATCTGCAAGCATAACAAAGGTTTTTGTCAGAGTCTTCAACACTGGGGATGCTAGAAATAAAAGAGATCATCTGAAAGCAAAATAATTTAATTTTATCAGAAGCTCTGCAGTGTCTGTTTGTTAAGAGGAAATACTTTTAGTATTACATCTGTAGTCCTCCACTGGATATTTAAAAAGGGCAGCGAGGTTCAGTGTCTGGAGTACAGAAATGGAGACTGGCTAGCAGACATATTAGAAGAAGTTAATATTAGCACTGAACATATTTGTCCAAGATTTGTCAGCAGATAGATATCTTAGCTGTATCTGAAAAAAAAAAAATCAATTCAATGAGTAAAATATAACTTCTGATAAATTTGTTTTAAAAATAAAAAAGACCACACCTCATTCTGGTTTAATATTTTCCGGTAATCTGTACTGCGTGCAAGTATTGTGACTCGAATTTTCCCATCCTAAAAAGAAAGAAGCAGCAGTGTATTAGCTATGAGGCAGACCTCACAAAAAAACACAAACACCCAAACAGTTCCATATTTACTTTTGGCAATTATCTGAGCAACTAAATATGTTCCTTCCCCATGTAACAGATGAGGTAACCACCTTAAAATTCACATCGTTATTTTCCAACAGATTGAAAGTGTCAAAAACTTTGTGAAAGTCTGACTACTAACAAAGAATAAAACATTTTCTGAAAGAATTATTTTATTCCGTACAAAAGAGTCTTTGTATCACATATTATACGGCAGTATCTGAAAGCAGGAAAGCAGCTTTCAGGATGGCTTGTGCACAAGACCCTCGGAAAAAAATATTTTACTTCTATAACAGTTACTCCTTTTACCTCTTTAGATTAATTGGACTCACAGGGGTAAGTGTTCCAAGTGAAATAAAGAGATTTAACTGCATGACTCCCATTAGTGTCAGCAGGAGAAGCATAACTAAATGCCTGTGCAGTGCTTTGAATGTGTGCCCCTCAGCGATAATACGTAGGCTACTCTCTAGCAAATACTTCAAGAAGCCCAGAACTGCCGTATCCATCAATGCAGCCACCGTAACAATTTGCAAAAACTACCAGTGTGTACAACAGAGCAGCCGAAGGCCAGGCAGATGGTACCGGGCAGGGATTGGGAGGACCGGAGTCAATCATTTCCTCCTTCCATCCTAACCATAAGGATCGATAAAGAGCAAGCTCATTGCACTGCTCTGTGGGATTCCCTGTGCTGGACCCAAGGACAGCACCTGGCCAGCAGGCTCCAGAAGAGGCTATGCATCTTGCTTAACTATGAAGGACACAAAGGCCTTGAGCACAGAGAATGGAGATGAGGAAGAGATCCTAGGGTAGGAAGGAGGGTGTTTTCAAGTCTGTCCTAGGGAAATAAGACACGAGGGCAACTTTCACAAACATACACAAATGTTTGCTGAAGGCCTTTATACAACAGGTGAACTAACAGGAAAAAAATCCCGAGCATCACAGGACAGGACAGGACAAAAAGTGCACTACATTCCCTTCTTCCCCACTGGCTCCAGCTTGCTAATGCTGTTTGTCTGGTAAGAGCCATCAGCTCCATATCACAACTTTACTACTCAGTTATCATACCTTCGGCCCTTCTTGCGTGATATTCAATCTGTGTAACACATGCTGAGAAAATGCTCTAAACAGCCCTGTACCGTGACAGCCAGAGATCTGAAAGTAAAAAAGTGATTGTTAATACAAAAAATTATTTTGCTCAGAAAATCTCTCTTTGTGATCGGTCTTTTGCCACTCTTGTGGAACAAAAGCCTAGTATCAGGCACTGCGCTGAACATGTCACTATTCACTGCAACACAAGTGGCACGTTCATTTAGAAAGAAATACAACTCTCTCTACAGTGTTACAGCCTGAAGGCATGAGCTAATGCCACCACGAAAGTCTGCCAGTGTACAAGGTCTTGTGTTCTGCAAAAATACCATTAGGTTCCCAGTGCCCACCCGCTAAAGAGGAATAATACGCATCTCATGAACTGTGACATGGGAGATTGCACACAACCAGTTACTACCAACCAGCTAGAGTAACTTCAAAATCCTAATCTCTAGGGAAGATCATTCCATTTGGACTTGCGCAGACTTTCAATGCAGTACATTTCATGGTAACTCAGCCAGATATTTGAGATATTCGTTAGCTCAGATTTTGTACTGTCACATACACACCTAGTTAACACAGTGGATGGATAAAAAGGACTCACCAATGGTGTGTTATAAAACAAGCCATACCGCATTCGAGGCAGTAATGAGAAGACTGCTTCTTTAAAACATACCTGCAAAGGAAGATCACAAGAAGTTACACTGCAGTGCTACCTTCCGCTGGCACATTCTGTGCTCATTCAGCGGGATCGCTCCTTATAATGAGCTAGCAATTACATGCTCCTGTCAAGAACATCCTCACTTCCTTGACTGTGCAAATGAATAGAACCAGATGTAAGTGTGGGAAGAGGTAAAAAAAGCACCCTCACAACAGAACAAACATGAACTGAATAGAAGAAAACCAGTTAGAGAGTTTAAGACTGGCTTTAAAGGACTTAAGAGACTAAAATGAGCTCTGAAGAAATGGGTACATTTTTTGGTGGGAGTAAAAACTTTTTTCATGATAACAGCAGACATACTAACAGTTGCAGGGGAAGATAAAACACCTCAGAAGGAATTGGAAGACTTAGAAAGACAATACCATTTGAAAACCCTTAACTTCAGTAGTGAGACCTGCAGAAGTGCAATACATAAATATCACCTCCCAGAAGACACAAAAGTTAGGTCCATCTGTATAAAGCATAGACATGCCACAGAATTAGGTTACAGCTCTGTCTCATGTTTGTAAAGTAGAATACTCATATTACACAAATTAAAAATGCATGGAAAGTATTAATGCTTTCCTCTGAAACACGCACACCCACAAGTGGCTTGAGAAGCTGTCATATTTGCTACCTAATGACTATGAATTAAAACAAAACATAAAATTCCATACCCTTTTAGAGTCAAAGGTTTTCAAGTGTATTATTTCATAGTCAGTAAATGCCTTCCATGTCTCACTGAACAGGTCACCATAGCCATACGAGCTCTAAGAGGAAAGGAAAAAACACAAGGCCATAACAATTACATAAACACATACAAAAACTTTCTTCATGACAAGTTTTATATACAAGTTTTAATATACAGTTAATATGGGCATCTCTGCCACAGGACCCAAGACAGCCTAGCACAGAACACAGACATTACAGAACGCCGAACCCTGCGTTTACAATTGCAGTTAAGCCAAATTACCTGCCAGGTAGCTAATTTTTAACAAAACAGTTCTATAAATTAGCAATCTAGACAACTTCTTCAGCAGCAGATTAGTATTTCCAAGTTAGGAGCAAGAATTACCTACTATTTTCCCCAGAGACAACAGAACACAAGTTAAATTTGAAGTAACAGAAACAGAGGCAAGGTAGAAGGCATGAACCTTGACTCTCGAGATCAAAAAACCACCTGGAAATTCAAGTGCAGCAGTAATGTTTGAAGTAAAAAGGTCACAACAAGCCTGTCGCACACTCATTTCTGTTTTGGGATGGTCACCTCTATCACAAATTGAAGACAATGATCTGATTTGATGGAAGAAACAGCCAGGAAGCAATGTATTGCATTGCTTTGACAAGCTACCAAGAAGTTTCTCTACAGGGCAGTATAAAACTTCCCCCTTTGCAGCAATGACCTGTGAAACCTTTTAAGAGCCATCTCCTGCCTACAACATTGGCCTAGCAGCAGGGGCTCCTGCCTTCAAATTTGTAACATTTCCTACACATCTGAGGGCTAAGAGTCACCATCTCTTGCTCTTTGAACGCAATTAAATATCACCTCAGTAGTCCTGGTGCAGATTCTTGCTTAAAGCTTCCTTTCAACTGTGGAGCTGGTTCAGGCTGCTTGGAAAGTTATGTGGAAACTTTCTCAACAAGAAATCTGAGAATAAGACTACAAATTACCGCAGAAGAGGGAAGACATCTAATGAAATGTAAGAGAATCTAAAGGGTGACAGATTTCCTTCACTTGCAGATGTGCTTCCTTCCCCTTCTTCTGCCATTAATTTTAATAAATTTTGCAATCCATATTACTTTCTGGCCATCTGTATCACAAGAACTGCTCTTCCAGGTTAGAAGTAGAGAACTGATTTTCAAAGCTGCAAATACTACCTTCTAACCCTGTCTGTCTCCTTAAGAGTGCTTTATAAACATTGCTTTCCTGCATTTGCAGAGACGGTCTGCAAATCAACACCCACAGGATTTCCTACTCATTTTCTGCTTTGTTTAACCTACATCTAAGGGCATTACTGTTTAATAAGAACAGTGCGCTGATTCTACAGTAGCTAGGAAGTATGGCCAAATCTAATTACATCAAGGAAGAAAAAAAGAGAATGAATAATAAGCCCATCCATCTCGCCATCAGCAGTGAGTTGGTGCCATCATCTGGCTGCACACAGTAATGAACGCCAGCAGACCCAGCAGCTCAGACCGATTTGAAATGACAATACTGTGACTACTTACTTCGAATGGTACATCTGAAAGAGTTGTTTGATTCATCAACGCAATGCAAGACAAAGAACTGCTCTTCGAAGTAATTCACAGTACTGTCTGACACATCTGATCTTTTCGGAAAGCCATCAGAGCTGGATTAACAGCTCCCTGGATAACATCTAGGGTTCGCTCATCTGACAGGCGCTTTTCTTTTAGCTTTCAAAACGTAAGAGAGCTAGAAAAAAGGGTCTCTTTCTAGCCAAAGAGGTTTCTCATTTGATAGCAAACAAAGGATATCTGCAGTTTTCTACTGAATAGTAGTTGTTCTAGCAGTAAATAGTCAGAAAGAAAACCCAGTATTTTATGAGAGCAAGACAGGCGTGGGACAATATCCTAGTTAAGAACTGTGTTATTTCTCAAACTGATTATACCGATTATCTGGCATGTTACAAATTGCCTAGTTTTTCATGGTTTAGCTTAACTCTCCTACAAAACTTTAATACTGGCCAGTAAAACTAGTATTACTCTTAAACACAGTCATGGTTTCAAGTCAGCAGTACAGCAGAAATAGCCCCACTTACAAATTTGGTTTATATGTCATTGTGGCAGTCTAAGAGTTGATTGAGAGAAGTAATTGCAAGAAGGCCGTTTAAAGGAATTAAGTATTAGACCTTGTTTTGATATATACAAGGATTTACATTAGTTGCTTGCTTTATTACAGGCTGCACATCACTGATTTAGAAAGACACGAGGATACATTTCTCTTTAAACACAGTTTTGAGTAAATCTACAACAATATTATCAGAAGAAAAAAAGTCTACAGAAAACACCATGAAATGTTCAAATGCCACATACTAGAAATACAGATCGTGTTATTTTTGAGGTCACACCAAAAAAAGGCGTAATTATGTAGCAGCAAAAGATGAGCTACGGAGTAGTGTTCCAACAGCACATGGTTTACTCTAGTAAGTCTGCTCCCTAACTATCGTTCAGGCACCTGTATTAACAAGATCCAAAAACATTGCAGGTCCACACGGGTAAGTCATCAGCCCACGTCAAAAGTAAGGACTGGCTACTAAAAGCTCCAGAGTCTCCACAAAGCAGAAATACAGCCCATTACAAAGCCGTTACAAGCACAGATGACTTACAGTGTCCCACATGACTATGTTGACATCAGTACTGAAGGAATTATTGATGTGTTGTGTAATATAAAGATTGACGAAATCACAGAAGTGATGGTACATATTAACACCTGAGAAAGAGAAAGAATTGTTAGCAAAATACCACATTACTTGCTCCACATTTTAGTAGCTCACGCAATTTTTCCTTAGTAATGTCCTGCATTTTCTATTAGTTTTCCTCGGTTCTGACTGAATGCTTCTTATACAGCCCAGGGAAGCAAACCTTCAGGGGGAAGGACGCAAGGTAAGAATCTGCAGTAAAACATATTTCTAACAAGCTCATAAAAATCCAAAGAGGGGCCAAAAGACAGAAAAGGAAAAGGTAAGTTTCATATGCAATTTCTCATCACAGTCTGCAGCTGCTTCAACAACAACCAGTTAGACATACAGGAAAAGTAAAAACAGGCCTTTGGCACTGATCTTAGTTCTGCTTTATTTGGGTTAAGGGAAGCTCTGTCTGTAGGACTACAAGACGGAACTTGTACTTGCACATGAGCCAAAGCCCAAGCAATTCCTCACGTTCTTTCTCAGAGCATTCTTGTTCATTCTTGATTTCTTAAACTAATACCTTAAGACCATGGTGCATAAAAAGCTACCACAAAAGAAACATGATAACGTAGTCCAGCTTCCTCGCTAGCGAAGACTAGACCCCAGTTCTGGGACTATGTGCGCCCAGCTCTTGTTGCAAGTTTCTGACCAAAAAGCACTGCTGTGATAGGGACTAGCTGACAGGCTTCCTATACTGCTCAAAGAGCAATCTTCCCCTGCCTCTCCTGGAACAGAGGAGCTGGGCAAAATCGCCTGCTGAGCCACAGCTAGATCACCTTGCTCCAAGGTACAAGTTCACAGCACAGCAACTCCTCCACTGTAACTGTTCAGCAATCTGCAAAAACTTTGCTTCAAATACAAGATACTGGCCTGCAGGGGAAGAGGGGTAATCCAGTTTGCAGCTGTGGTGTGTCAGAACACAGCAGACAACAATCCAGTTCAAACCACAGCTTACCCCACAGCAGCTTGTTCGTATGCCTACATGCTGAACACCCCCCGCCTTTCACTAACATTTGTCTGCAAAACACGCTGCATGAACAAAAAGGTTGGAGAACTTAAAAAAATGCCAGATACCACTGGCTGGTTCCTAAAGATGCTTGGATGCTGCCCCTCTGAGTACCACCTCCTCTTCCATATCATTCAACACACATAGAATCCTCAATTACTGAACACCTAATGTGTGAAAACTGTCATCCAGAAACACAGCTAAAGTCAAAAACTCTGTACAGAAGAGTCTGGCACAAAGTTAAAGACTGTCAAAACACAGTCAAGAGTCAATGACTGTGCAAAACAAGTGGCAGGAATATTTTTCTGATTTATTTATCTATTATCTGTGGCAGAATGTAAGGACGTAAATCTAAGTTTCCAAGTTCATCAATGGAACTACAGAAAAAAAGAATTTAAAACTCACATGATATTTCAAAAATGAAAATATATTACAAGTGAACTTGGCAATCGCAAATGCATAATGTAGATGAGCAAGTTGTATACGGGGTCTTCTTACTGCAGTAGTGTACAATAAAGAAACCAGTTACCTGCATCTAATTTCATGAAGTATGTTGGCTTCTCAATAACAACATCACACTTCTCATCTTCTAGGGGCTTGAAGTTTAATGCAGTAAACGTCTGGAGTTCTGCAAACCTACAAAGATTCAATCACACAGAACATGCTTTGTCACTAACACGCTTGAACAAATGTACTTCATGCATCTAAGATTTGGTAACTGTTCAGCCAGTCCATTTGATTTAACAGGACTACTGAAAACCAATACAGCCTGACAATTAAAATGATTTGAAATTGTAACGGAAGGTTCTTCAGGTTATGAGCTTCAAGAGGTTAAACACCGCCTTTGATCTCCAGAGTGAACAGCATCTTTGATCTACAAATCAAGGCAGCAGAGACGTAACAAAGAACCTTAGAGCCTAGATCCCTGGGCCTATCCGACTTGATCTGCATTGCCAAAGACACTTCAGCAAGATCTTTATGCTTTGGTCAGAATAATGAACGTAGATGCAACATTTATTATTCCTGGATCTAAACAAGGAGGAGCAGCTGAGATGACAACAGCAGGTAGAGGAGAAAAGTCTTTTCCTCCTCTGCAGCTATTCTTCACTGAAACTGACCATCAATGCAAAATGAGAAGAAAAACTACAACATGAGGAAAGCATAAAAATGAATTCTTATATGGACCTTACTGGCTCCAATTCCTTCATGTTTCACCAGTTAACTGGCAAGGCAGCTTTGAAGTGCTAACATGCAACCCATCACACTTAACCAGCTACCACAAAGCACCCTCTACACTTGCCACTCGGCCTGTAGACCGTTGCCCATTTCACATTCCAGACACAGGCTCCCTGGGAACACCGTACAAATACCCATCCAGACCAGTCGTTGCATTAGCCCCAGCATCGCCCAGGACTGTGTGAACGAAGACACAAGTGCAAACCTCAAGGCATTTCACAACAAAACAATGGTCGTCTCCTATACGCAGGTCAGGCATACAACCAGCACCTTGTCCAGAAAACACCTGAAGGGTAGAACTTCAAATTACAAGACATTTCCAGATCTTTTGCTGTTGTTGTCAGGCAGGACACAATCACACATAGCATAGTTCACAATATTCTGCAGAGATGTAATTACCAGAGGTATCTGATATGAACACTCAAATTGATCTTAGGAAGGAGCAACTATTTCCTCAGTATGAAATCCCCAACACACAGCTGCTAGTGCCAACGAAAAAGGTAAAAAAGAATTAGTAAGTCAACTTGGAAGCAGCCTTCACGAGTGATTCTTACCAAGACTGCAGAGGGCTCTTGCGTTGACCTTCAGCCAAAAATGCCTGAACATCGAGGGTGCAATGACCTCCAATCTCTCCCTTCTGGAAAAAGTCTTCTTTGAATCTAATGCAAATCAGTAAAAGACCATCAGCTTTTATGCAACAGTGCTACAAGTGCTCTGGAATTCCCACTACATACTCAAGCCAGTGCTAGTTAATCTCAGTTCAGCAAGGTACTTCTTACTTATTTAAAACCTGAGTATTTTCTTCAGCCTAAATCAAGCCTTTCCCACAATTCCAAACTATAGTGGTGTCCTTGGGAGTTCTATACATCAATTTCGAAAACAGCATTAAACCACCCAGAATGTTATCAGGAATAATTTTCACATACACATATGAGTAACTTTGTAAGACTTTACGACATGATTACTTACAGGAGCATCATTAGCTGGGTTTTTTGTTTGTTGGTTTTTAATAAAAATTTCTCACTGAAATTCACCTCAGATATCACAACCCAGTTAGTAACCCAAGAATTTTATATAACTTATGAAGAGAGAGGTGCAAGGACAGGACAAAAACAAATTGTCAATTAAAATCACTATCTAACTTAGCTTTTAGTATAGCCTGAGAAGATGACAAAACCCATTCTGAAGGGCATCAGTGTCACAGTCACAAACCAGCTCTTTTAAGTCAGATGCCCAAAACACTGACTTCAAAGACAAGGTAGATGCAAAAATGAGTGATGCCAGCATCAGTGGTAAGGGCTTTTTATCCAGTTTTCCAATATACAGCATTTTAATTTGGGATGTGGGACATCCAGGTTTGGATCTCTCTTCAGTCTCAGCACCTAATCTCAGCACCTAAAAATGCAATTCGTGGTTCTGGCATAAAGGCACCTAGCACAGGAAAGGTCTTCTCAGGGTCCCATACAAAAACAACTCTATTCCGCAAAAAAGGATGTGACTGAAGACACAGAAAGGATGTGACTGAAGACACAGGAAAGTCTTCCTCTCTTCCATCAGAAGGAAGGATTCAGTCACTCATTATCATTCCACAAACTGAGTACTTAGTTTTTTAGATAACCTGTCCTGCTGACCACAGCAGCAGACAGCAATCAAGAGGTGTAGATCTCGACAGGACTACAGCAGCAAGTATCTGATCAGCAGTAAAGCCCACGACAACCAGCACACCAGCTTTGTCTAACAAACCCTGAAGTCCTTTTCCCTGCCATCCCTCGGTTTTACTATAACATAAGCAAATCAGAGACCTGTCGTGGTTTCTCTTTACAGTTCGTAAATCAATGTACAAGTTTGTTGCTCTGCAATGCTGAAGGTACTGAGAACAGGTCAGAGATGAATCTCCCTGTAAGAAAAGAACAAGCAGGATTTTATGAATAACAAAAATTATGTTTAGAAGTGAAAAGTATAATATCTATCAGAAATACCTACTGTTGCTGCAGGCTTACAATGGGTTTTCATTTCATTGAGCCTCTCTCGAATGTAGCCAAAGTCAGCTTGTTTCCAGAATATCTGTTGGGCTGTCTCAATGTCACTTGCCCTGATGTATGAAGGAGAGACCAAAAAAAAAAATCAAGGTCTGTGGCTAAATTCTAGTAGTAACTTTAACAGATAACATTTTTTCCACTGAAAGTGGAACAGAAGAGCCAGCCAGTTGCTTTACTCACATTTAAGATACAAAACAGGAAGCAACTTATTGTCTACATTTAAGTGAAAATACCAACGACAATTTAAAGCTATTCTCCCGTAAAAGGGTATCCATTTTTTTTAACATTTTTCCTCTGTTTTTAAAGCAAAGAAAGGAAATCCGGAGTTATTTTAGGAACCTGAATTCAAGGCTAAATCAGAATAATGAAAACATTGTGGCAAGAGGCATTTCAAACAGTATTGTCTCCCTTAAAAGCTTTTTTAAATCACATTGAAAGACGTATGTTACCTACAAATACACACATATCTCCACAAAGAATCATCCTTTAAACTCTAAATATCACAATTATGTTAACTTCACAGCTAATACGAAAGTGAGCCCTAAGCTCTTTTTTTAAGGTACTGTACTTTTTAAATTTAAAAGGAAACTTACCATCCAGTTTCTACGTAATCACACACTGGATAACTGAACCTGTGATCTGATTTGCAAGATTTCTCATAACCCCAGCAGGATCTTCGCTTCTTCAAGTATTTCTGTAACACAGAATAACTGAATCAGGTTAAACAGCAGCAAAATGGGAAATTACTTAGATCAGTTAGCTTATAAACCACCTCTTGCTAATAGATCTTGCACTAAAGGCTTTCGATGTGGTCTGTTTTCAAACGGAGCTTCAGGAAGAACACTCAGATTCTTTACGCAGCACAACAGAGGCTCCAAAGAGGACACACGTGCACAGCAACATTACCTTTGTCTTTAACGTGTCTGTTCCAGGACGACTTTTCCTGACCCAATGAGTAGGATTCCAAAATTTTAACATCGCTGATACAGGTGACAAAGCTAAGCTGACGCAAAGCACAGCGCGCCGAGCTCCAGGCCGCGCGTACCACTGCTCTCCGGGCAAATCTAGGAACATCGGCTTCTACAGCGCTACAGAGAAGGGGGAGCACGGCTCCCACCCCGATCTCTGTGCAGCAGTTCCAGCCCAGGAGACACTAGACCTGCTCCCAAGCCACACGCGGCCTGGATCCTCGGGTTCACTGTCCCTGCTTCAGGTGAATGAATTCTATGCAGCCAGAGGGTAAGATTAAATCAGCATTTCACTGATTTGCCTATACTCTTGGAACTTCCGCAAAAGTATTACAGCATGCTAAAAACCACAGGCCTAGAAACTACTAACTGTACTTGGTTCAAACACCTTTCCCATGCACAAGGGTCATTCAGATTAAGACCATCATTTCAGCTCTGTAACAATTAAAAGACAGAGGGTAAAAATCTAGCAAAACAGTAGGTTAGAAATCCAGTCGCGTGACAGCAGCAGACTCAGGAAGAGCCCCGCACAACTATTTCAAAAGCAACAATTCCAACTCCCAGCGGAACCAACTCACTGGCAAGGAGACCAATTCATCACCATCTTTAACTACTACGACTCCAAGAATAAACCACCCCAACATCGCATTTGAACAAAAGCAAACTTACTTTATATGGGCAACGAGAGTCCTGCTCACAGATGCCAGCAATACGCTGATTATTGTGCAGAAAGTACGGAATATGCTCATCTGGCAAGTTGATAGTTTCGTAGCTATATAACGGCGCTTCCGGAGCGTTTTTGAATTCAGTAAGATTTTCAGCTTGGGAATTAGCCAGAGTTTCTTGCAGTAGCAATCCAAACACAAGCAACATGAACATGGCAACCTACGAGCTCTGTACTTATTAAAAAGAAAAAAAGACACTTCACATATCTGAGGCAGAGCACATTTCAAGCATACAAGATAGTATTCAGCCAACGCCAGCCATACACTCAGATAATTTGTACTTGTATTCCTGGGGTGGTTTCTTTTTCCTATGAAAAGCAAACTTTCACTGAAGAGACTAGACTGTACAACCTCCGGATTATCTTCGAGCCATTAGTCATTGAGGGTTATTGCACACTACCAACTCGCAGTCAGACTAAAATGGGTGTGTTTACTTGAGCTGAATCCCAAGGGATCCTGAGAGTTCGAATGTGGAAACTAAGTATAGAGCATACAATATCCAGACACCGGGAAGAAAACGTAGAAGGACTGGGAGGAGGGGTGAGGAGGAACCTAGGTTTAAAAATAAGTATAAAAATAATACATTCTCCACTTTGGAATCAGTAGCTGAAAGAAAACTATGCGGTCATGAATAAATGGTCAGCTTCAGAATGCTTCTTATTAGTAGTTAATATTGTGTTTGAGAAACTTCAAATACTGAGTTATATCCTTAAAACTCACTACAGGCCCACACGTATCTCTACGCTCCAAAGCAGACCAGATACCTGCCTGGTAATAAAACCTTCTCAACAAACACCCCTGCTTTGAACTGTTCCTGGAAAAAAAAAAAAAAAAAACAAAACAAGAACGGATGGCTTGCATCTAAAAAACCTTTTTTAGCATGATAATTTGCCAGAATTTGCATGCTCGCTTGCAGCTGAAGCCTTCAGGCATATTCCTCCAACACAAGCAGTTTTACCTGTTTGGTTCGCGGAGAATGGCTCCGGGTTTCCCAGGCACGGCCCTGGAGGGATGGGGGGGGGGGAA